TACTCCTCAGTTCTTTTCCATTTAAAAATAATAATTGTCAGTCTTCCTCATTCAGACCGGAGGGACTCCATAGAACTTTTTTTTTTTCTTTAAAAATGTTCTCACAAGCGTTATAGAACATACACCAAAAGTCACAGAAAGAAAAACCATTTTAACTTAAAAGTGTCTAAGATTTTATGCTGCCTTGCAGGAGACATAGAAAACTTGCACCTCCTTTAGGGTTGAAGGACAAAGAAACCTAACACAATTTATGCTGTAGGAATACTCAATGTGTACTCAAGGACGTCACTCCAATCCACAACAACTTTGTGTCCTTTTCTATTGCAATCAAACCTATTGTCAGACATACTCATGTATAGCACAGAGCACCTGAGAAACTGCTTGGAAGAAAAAAAATTCTTTTAAGCAAGGAAAACTAAAATTAGACCCTCAGCACAACAAAAAAGGCTTCCCGGCGATATAGTTAGGTGGTTTTGATATTTTGATAGCTATAAGAGTTGCCCAAGCAACTACTAGAAAAAAAGGTTTGACAAATATATCTTAAGTTACAATCTGCTTTGAGTTAGTATTCCTAGCTGTACCTGGTCCTTACTGCACACTGCACTGCAGGTTTTACAGGAAGTTTCTTCATCAATATAACAGATTACTTTATCATGATAGAAGTAGTCTCCTAAGTTGAAGTTACAACTTTAAAGTTAAGTTACCTTCAGCTCTTTCTGCAGCTTTATTAATTCTGTATTGTTTTCATTCATGTTTGCCTTTTCCCTTTCCCTATCCTTTTGCTGACGGTCAATATTGCTCTGGTTCTGCAGTACTCTGTATCTCTGTTTCCATGTCTCCAGTTCTACTCAGTATGCAAAAAGAGGTTAGACATCATATCGTATCAAGTGTATATCTGAAATACCATATTAATGACTTTTTACTAAAGCCACTTACGTTTTACCTGCTATAGACACAAAGAAATAACAGAAGCCTTTAACAAGTAGAAATTTGTTGTTTACTTTGGAACATTAAAGCCTAAGTCAAATGAAAACGGAAGTGGCTATCACAGTACATCTAAAGCACCATCTAATGCATCACTACCCCCTTTCCACTGAAAAATTACCTGAAACTAATCTTTCATTCTCTTCTAATTGAGCTTCTAGCGCTTGGGCTTGTTCATGTTGAGTCTCTTCTTGTTCTTCTAATGTCATCCGCAAAACTTCAATTATTTTTTCTCTTGCAAACAGATCTGAAGGTTTGAAAATTTACAGATGAACTCCCTCTTAGTTCCCGTATTCTCCCCCAAAGGGTTTCCAAATCAAGCTTCCCCCATAACCAAAAGCTCTCTTGAAAGAAATAGAGCATCTCTATTGAAATATTTGCATACAAATACATACAGAGTTCTTAAGTGAGTCTTGCCAACTTGCTTTAAGTGAGAATTCTAGGGCTAGGGACAATCAGAACATGGAGTTTATTACATGAGAAAATAATGTAGTTCAACTGCTCTAAGTTCATCCAACCTACAGAATCTGTTATTGTAGAACTTGACATTTCAGTGGTTGAGTTTTCTTCAAAAGGTCAACTAAAACGGCACATAAGCAGCAGACTTTTTTAAAAGCACACTAAACCTACACTTTCTTGGAAACTTCTTCCAAATCCGTTGCTTTACTTTCAAGTTTACTTGATAAGAGCCATACAATAACATCAATAGCAGTGCTTGACTTTTTAACATCCAGTTTGGAGTTTCTCAAGTCATGTTTTA